GGCTGGGGGGGGAGAGCCAGTCTTGCTTACCATCTCCCCTCCCAAGCAGCCATGTCTCACACGGCACTCCCCTCCCTGGTGGTCAGTTCTGGCTCAGACTCCAGCCTTCCCCTACCCTCCTGGGTGGCTAGGGACAGGGGTGTGAAGCCAGGTCTGGTGTGGCCCCAGCCCTCCCCAGTGGCTGGGGGTTTGCTGGACTTACCTACCCCCAGGGACTGGTGTGGGCCTGGCAGCTGGAGAGGCGGGGGGCCGAGAGACTGCGGCTGGTGCAACTGGTGGCCCTCCCCTCCCCCATTGCTGGGGCAGGGACCCAAGAATCTGGGGATGGCATGACCCCAGCCCTCCCTGGTGGCCAAGGCTGCCTGCCCCCACAGACAGGGGGGTTGGCAAGCATAGCGAGCAGAGGGCACCGCCCCCTAGTAATCAAAATTATGCATGAGCATGTGACTTTAAAAAAAATCAATGCAAATAGAAATGCTATTCAGAAGGGGAACTAGATGATATAGTTGACTAGTATAGTGACTTTTCTCACTGTAAACAGAAATTGGCTTAGGTCTCTAATAAAGAATTTGCCTGGATTACCAAGGTCTCAATTGTCCAAAATCTTAGTAAAAGCAGGGTTTGAATACCTGCTGCTTTCTGTTTCACAATATGGAATGTTGGCCCTCTTCTTCAAAACCAATTGGCTCAGCAGAAGCAGAGGCAGGCAAGAGACTGAAGAACAACTCCACTTACTCAAAGATTAGAGGTTTCACAAGAACAGCACTTTAGACCTGCACAGTTCAGGGTCTCTGCAGGCCTGAAACTGAACTTCAATTAGCCTCAGTAAGTGTGACTGACACCACCGCAATATATCTTCAATTAAACAGGAAGTCAAGTTAACCGGAGTTTGGTAAATGAGGGTACCATTTTAACCCACAGCCTCTGTTGAAAAGTAGTCTAGGATTTTCATAGAAGGGTTCTATAGACTAGAAGTACAATTCATGAATATAACAGTGTGTAGGAATTATAAAACAGCATTGTCTTTCTGTCTGGCCAAAGCAAGCAAAAGCTGGCTAAACTAATCCACAATGTTTTTTAAAACAAAATACTAACTGAACAGGTTTTTATTCTTTTTATCTGGAGGAGTCATTTGTTTAGCTAATCTCACAAGTTAGTAAAAAGATCTGGCATCTCTTGAGTGAGGGAAAGCTTTTCTGGTTTTGTCCCTTCGTATTCTTGCTCCTCTTCATAGCAGAATGGTCTTAGCTTTAAAATGGATAATGACATTTCACTTTTTCAGTTACTTTCAGCTCAGACAAATGCATCCTGCACTCAACCATGCATCATATCCCATTGGCTCTGTTTAAACAAGAGAATTGACAAATTTCAAATCTAAAGTTCACATTCACACACACACACACTCATACAATACTCATTCTATGACTAAAAAAGAAATCACAAACTAGTAAATACTACACATTTATTTACAAGATTAATCTCTCTGGATAAGTTTTTTGAAAATTGTTTTAGGGTTAATTCAGACACCCTATTGGTTTCTGCTGTCCAAAGTTTTCAGCGGGATCCCCAGAAAGTTTAGTAATCCTGATGGATCAGTTCCTTACCACCCTCATGAAAACCCTGATTGTCCATGCAGAGCAGACTGGACATCATCTTCAAGGCCGCATTCAAAAAACTTCCCCACATTATTCTTAATTAACCTACATCTAAAAGGAGGAAGGGTTTGAATCACTCACACTGGAATGTGCACGTGTGTTCCAGGAAATTTAGATGTTTATAACTTGGGGCTAGACCACTAGGGGCTAACAGACCTGCCCAGCCCCAGGGCAATGAGGAGATGGGAGGGCAAGCTCAATGTTACTGAAAGGGGTGGGGCTGGAGCAGCCAGCCCGCAGCACTGCCCAGAGTGCACTGTGCCCTCTCCCTCCCCATGCTAACCCTCAGAGCTGCCCAGAGCGCACTGCATGGCGCTCCGGCAGTGATTTAAAGGGCCTGGGGCTCTGACCACTGCTGTAGCAGTGGAAGCAGCTGGGAGCCCTGGGTCCTTTTGAATCACTGGGTCCCAGGGTTACTGCCCCCTTTGCTCCCCTGTGTTGGCGGGCCTGACACTAAGCCATCCTTTCCCAAGTTTGTGGGAAATTTTACCAATACTTAGTAAACTTCTGGCAGAGTACCAAAGTGTAGTTTCACGAGGGTTCTTTTTTGGCCAACTGACTAGTGATACTGAGACTTTGAAAATAATTATTAAAAAAAGTTAATTACCTGCATTGACAAAAGGGATCCCATCATATGGGACATACTGAGATTTCCACATCAACCGTGTGGCAGGTTTGGCTGGGCTTGGAGACTGGCGCGTCCCCCACACACTTTGTGTTTGCTGCTTGTGTAGCGTTAGAACACTCTCTAATTCTGTCTCGCTCACACAATAGCCGCGGTACGAGTCCCCAATTTTCTGCATGGAAAGGAGGTGAAATAATAGGATTATTCACCAATCTGACTGCTGATCAATATCCAAAAAATAAATATGCGTCAGGGACTCTGGCATGGTGGCAGGTGAGGACATTGCCTGAAATGTTTTGTGCACTGGTTGTATTGCAACCAGATTTATCATAGCGTCTAACACAAAAATCAGCCTTCAGTGAGTTCATACCAGAGGTGTTTGTCAGCAATCTGAGACTATAATTAAAACATTCTGAATGTCAAAGCATTAGGCCATTATAGCAACAGTCAGAATAACCTAATTTGTTAAGGATTTGGCAACATCCAAAACCTCCAAAAATACATTTTGGGTAGTTGAGGGAGTAAGGCATGCAGTCAGGAATTGTAACTGACCTTCTATGAATTGGCATTTAGATAAATGGAATTACTCTAGTACCAAAAGAAAGAAGCAAATTAGTTACTTCACACTGGACCATTCCCTTTACTTCAGACTCTTCTACTAAAATAAATGTTTACTAAACGTCAGTGCATTGTAGAAAATATTTCTGGTGGCCCTGCTCGTCACATCTAGAAGAACAACAAATACAGGCAGTCCCCGGGTTACGTACAAGATAGGGACTGTAGGTTTGTTCTTAAGTTGAATCTGTATGTAAGTCGGAACTGGCGTCCAGATTCAGCCGCTGCTGAAACTGATCAGTTTCAACAGTGGCTGAATCTGGACACCAGTTCTGACTTACATACAGATTCAACTTAAGACCCCCAAGTCAGCTGCTGCTGAAACTGATCAGCAGCTGATTCCAGGAAGCCCGGGGCAGAGCAACTCTGCCTGGGGCTTCCTGT